ATAAGAAATTAAAATTACTGCAAAGAATCTGGAGATAATAAACTCTTGCTGTTTAAAAAAAATAGCAAGAGTACAATTAGTTCATCACAAAGCATAAGTAACACATACTTTATGTGTTATGGGTCAAATTTTCCAACATGATAATGTTTGTCATTAAATGGAATGGATAGATGCCATAGCCATACTGTGATATTTCATTCATTATTTTGATTTTTCCTATTGTTCTTTGTCTAAAATGAGTAATATTACTATTAGTTACAATATTTACCTGTGTTACTACTTAATTACAGCTATGTAAATAAACATACTCAAATTTTCTAAAAGCAGAAATTAATATAAGGATCATACTTTTTCTTTTAACAGATACCTTCAATAGGGCACTGAAGAATTCTCTGCATGAATAATAATGTCATTTATTCCTGGCAAGGGATCACTTTTGTTTACATAGAGTTCACTTTTTCCCAAGCCCATACTGCACTCATTTGTTTTATCCTCTCCCATCCCACAAACAAAATGCTTACTTGCTACCCAGATTTAAGAACAAGTCAACAATTCTGCAATGACACAACAGACCAGCTGCTCGATGTCTGGGTTTAGATTCCTCATCTATAACCCAAAAAGCCTAAAAGATTTACAAAGTGTCTTCTAAATCTGATATGCATTATTTTACAGTGATATAGTGCATGTATGGGCCGTTTTCACTTTTAAAAAAGCATTCCTAAGGAAGCATTAATAATGAAGCAATTTTTTTCAAAAATAGATTGATTTATTAAGGAGTCTATCAGTATTATTTATCCAAACCTTAAAAAAGAAAATATCCCCCGCCTAAAAAAAAATATTCAAGGTTATACAGGTTTCCCTCCAGGCCATCTTTTCCCTTTAACTCATAGAAAACTTGTAACAATTCCATGGTGCTAACAGCTACATAAAAAGAAGGTAACTGCAAAGTTAAAATTTGAGCATTATGAAGTTCTTTTGGAGAATGACCAGAGCACCTTATGTGAAAATGTTTGCATACCAAGCAATCCTAATGAATTGGAACCTTTTCCAGAAACTCTTAAGAGTAACAGAACACACTTTTAACATACTGAAATTTATTTATTTATTTATTTATTTATTTATTTATTTTGGTGGAACCAGGGATTGAACTCAGATCCTTGCGCTTGCCAGTGAAGTGCTTATTCTATTGAACCATCTCCCTGGCCCCCAATATACTGAAATTTAAATGGAAACTTAAAAATCCTAATATTACCAATGTAAGTCCTAGTAAATACAATATTTACTCCCAAAAATAAAACTTGTATTCATAAGGATTCTCAAGAAAAAACCCACCTAAACAACTGGCTTTACACTGAAATCAAATAATACGCCATGTTTTTTCCCACTACCCTGTTACTGAGTATGGTTTTCTGTGTAGAACACTGCGTTTTTATTCTGCTCTTGTATACATACTCAGATTTTTAAAGGGAAAAGTTAGAAAAATTTCTTTGAATTATCATTGTACTACACAAGTTTTTGTTTTTTTCTGAGGTTGTTTGTTTTGAAAGCAATGACTAAATATTCTAATAATAGCAATTTACCATATTTAGACATTCAGCTATCACAAGTTTATCCACTGATATGGAATGGCCTACAGTTGCCAGACTCAGTATTTGCATTTGATTTACTGTGACACAAATAAATTAAACACCTGGAGAAAATATAGATAGCATTTATATGTCACTTATGTGACACAGGTTACTGTCATGTATCAGTTTTATATTGATTAGCTTATTCTTTCAAATTTAGGAGAATGGCTCCATAGGAATAGCTAGGTAGGATTTACCCAGGTATCTCCCAATATCTGACTCCATGGTTTTTTTTTTTAAATTTCAAAGACAATAACAAAATATAACAAAATGATACAGAATTTCAAAACAAGGTGATAGGAAATTAACAATGGTTATTATACTGCTTATTGTCATCTTCAAAGTCGTTGCTCAGATTATCAGATATAAGCATGTAAGATTGATCTAACCATATAAACACTAACTGTTCCTTTCATGTGTCATGGTTTTTAATGAGGGCTTTCCCAAATGCTTGTTGAATAAAAAGATCTCAAATATTCACACATATTAATTACGCATCAATGCCTAACATGGAATTTAATCTTTGAAAAGCATTTGATTCTGATAAGGGGTTTGGTTATCTTGTCTACTTAACAAGCAAATTCCTGGTAACTAAACTCTCATAGGTATTAGTTGCTGTGTAAAACTAGTTAGGTTAAATATAGAAAAACTAAGCAGCTGGAATTTTGAAGGAAAAAAAGAGGTGCTCCCATTATAAGACAGGGTAAAGACTTCTGACTAATTCACATCACTATCCTGGGCTTCTAGGAGAATCTGGCATGTGGCAAGCATTTGGTAAATAAGCAGACTGTTGATAAAACACATATTATTTCATCTCAACGTGTTTTAGTCGAGGATGGAAAACAGAACTCATTTGTGGAGTTCAGAAGCTCCAACATAAGTTCATACTGAAATCTGATTCTGGCAAAGGCTCTAGAATTTGGGATTACCAACTGTAAAATAAGAGTAAATTTACATCCCAGACACTGTTTGGCTGACCAAGCATGGGCCTGGGAGACATCAAGAGCAGGTAAGCAAGAATTTCAAGTCAGTCTCCCTGTGTATGTATGTAGTACCTGTGCCAGCACTAACAAGTTAGCTTTTCTGGCAAACCTGCCAAAATTAAATCTAAAACTTTTGGGAAAAAAAACCCCAAAACAGTAGTATGTTTATTCTTCATCTCTGAGATCTAGCTATCTGTGAGGCTGGCATACAATGATGATCAATTAATTATGACTTGAAGACATTTTAAAAGATACCTACCCTTTTGAGCAACTTTTAAAGAACAATGAAGGAGTAAGACTTGAACCTATCCTAGAGAAAACAACAAATTACAGGCTGGGGATCCAACTTTGACACTCCTGGGGAAGGAAAAGAACTGTCACTTGGACTTGACTTCTTCTCAAATCCGGAATGTCTAGTCTGGCCAAGAAAGTCATGGGGGGCAGTAGTTACCCTGAGGCAGAGGGAAAAGAAACAGGAAAAAAGCAAATGGGGAACAGAGATCTGTAGCTTGTGAGAGTGACCTCATCAATAACTTCCGATTTCAGGACATAAGACTTGATGGCATTTCTTGATGAACTTCAAGCTAATTATACTCAAATAAGTATGATTCCAAAGCCTATGATATCTGGGTCTGAGTATGATTTGTTCTATCATGGTGCTTTTTTTTTTTTTTGCTGTACTGGGGATTGAACTCAGGACCTTGTGCTTACCAGGCAAGCACTTATTGTACTGAGCTATCTTCCCGGCCCCTATGATTCATTCTATAAACTTCAGGCTTTATAAATAATAACATTACACAAGGTGTCCCTCATTGGGAGAGAACTGTATTTATGACCCTTAATTGGACATTTCATAGGTTAAAAAAATTTTTAAGATAAATACAAATTCTAGTTGTGCAATTCATTCTTTGGGAAGAGTTCCAGTGATTTTTCTAGGATCCTTTTTCCTTCCACTATTCCTTCCAAACAGTTTTTGTTATTTTTCCTGAAATGTACTCACACAAAAGGTAATCTATTGTTTTTATATAAAATCCCACCTTCCATTCTCAGTCTCATAATCTTTTGCTTCCCCACCTTAACTATGTAGAGTAGCAGTATAATGGGTCCTGTATTTACAGCCCTTTTCTACCTTATTTATGTATTTATGATTCTTTGCTACCAAATAGTCTAAGTTTAAATGTGTTGGGAACAAAGTGTCACACAAATCACCCAGCCTAGGGTAAGAGGAGACAGGTTAAAACCTCCCAGGAAGAATCTATGGACAGTTAAGTCTCCATCAGCCTAGAGGGTAGTTGGCATTTCAAAGGGTCAGGTTTGGGTCTCTCTATTTTGACGACTACCATTAAACTGATTTTTTACAAAAATATTTAGCTGCTATTTACATAATTTCATCTACAGCACCCACAGGAGACACATGCTTGAACAGAAACCTTAGATGGAGGAGAAGACAGGGACAAGCTCCCAAGATCTCTTTAACACAGTACAGAGTTGAGAAAGGTTAAGCCACAATCCGTTTGATGGAAGTTTCTGTGTATTCCTTTTCAACTTCAAACTCTTTCTGTTTTGAAAAAGAAAAGACAGCACAACCACACAATGAAGAAATTCCAGGATCACTAAAAAAAATATAATTATCCTAAGTTACACTAACATTAACACTGGTTTCTACACGCAGGAGACTGGGGACTGGTACATGCAGGTAAAGCAAGGGCAGAAGGTATAGAATCTAAAGCCACCCCATCTTCCACTCACATCTAACTCTTAGGTGAAGCAGCCTAAGGACAGTGTCAGCCCAACAAGATGAAGTAATTCAAACAGCTACTAGTTTTGGAAAACACTTTTAAAATCACACCGGGCATCAGCACCGAAACTCCTTAACCTTCAAAAGTCATTCTGTTTATGAAACTTTAATAAAAAAGAAACCACGAGTAATACTGGCAAACATGTTTCTGCATTTTCTTAAGCTTTACAACTGGGTTCCACCCTTCAAGTTCCCTTCTTAGTAATTACCACACGGAAACCTGCCACATCTCAGTCGCTCAAAACTCCCCCCAAGACAGGGAAAAAATACGCAGAGGACGGCGGGGCACAAGTCAGATCGGCTGGTTTGACCCAACTTGCCCCGAGCTCCCCGGGGAGGGGAGGGGAGGGGAGGAAGCAAACGCTCCGGGCGTTGTTGGGCAGTGGGAAAGCCTGCATAGGTCTCGTCCCCCCTCGTCTCCCCCCCTCCCGGCTTTCTGGCTGCCTGGTAAGGTCACCGGCTCCGGGTGGTCAACGCGCAGCATCCGGCCTCTCAGGCCGCCTCCTGCCTGGCACTTTCCCCTGCCTGAGGATCTCTGCCGGACCTACCCCGGCGCGCGGCTCCGACGGCGCGGGCGCGGCTCCCACTCACCTGACCACGTTGGGGTGCTCGAAGGTCTCCAGGTGCCTCAGCACCGCCACCTCGCGGATAGTGGAGAGCGGCATGCCCTCCTCACCAGTCTGCACCCGCACGCGCTTCAGAGCCACGAACCGGCCTCCGTTCTTCAGGTCCCGGGCCTTGAACACCTTCCCATAAGCGCCCTCCCCGATCTCCGCCACGCATTCGTACTGCTGGTCGGCGCGGCTCAGGCCATCCTTCTCCATGCCGCCTGGACGCCACCCGGCGCGGCGTCGCGGGAGCGGGCGGGGTGCGCTAGCTAGCTCGCTCGCCTCCCGGAGGAGCTCGGTCTCGCTCTCCTCTCGCCCCGGCCGGCTTGGGCGCTGAGGCTCGCGCGGCCGCGCAGGCTGGTTGGAGAGACCTCCGGGCGGGTTGGCGCAACCTCGGTGCCGCAGCCGCGAAACTCCGCCTGCCGAGTCGCCGCCGTAGAGGAGCGCGCCGATCCCTCCTCTTCCCTCCCCAAAGCGAAGTCCTCTACTCAGACACTGACGCGGTCACATAGTCTGTGCTCCTGCGCGTCTCCATCCACAATCTCCGCACCTAAAAGAGGGAAAGAGGACGAGAAGAAAGTGCAATCAGAAATCCCAGGCGCCCCACGCGGGGTTCCTCCAGACTCCCCTCGGCGCGCTCCAGCCCTCTCCCGAGCCGCGGACGCCCGCCTGGTTTTGCGTTACTTTTCTTTCCCTGTAGGGCTGGAGCGGTCTTCGCGCGGAGAGGCTGCAGGGGCCCCTCGGGGATGAGCGCGCCGCGCGGGACGCAGTGGAACGGGAGGGGGCGTGCCGAGCAGCCCAGAGTGTGCCGGGAGCGCGGGGGAGGGGAGGCGCGGGCACGTCAATGTCACGGATTCATATTTATACCTTGAAGATCGCCGGCTCTGCTGCCCTCCTCCCCTCCTGGGCCGGGACGTGCAAGGATAGGGGTTAGGGGGGGACGACAATCAAGGGTCGCGCACACTCTAGTGCGGTGGGCTGTGGGTTCACTAGTGTGGGGCCGCAGAATGTGGATGGGGGCTCCGGGGACCCTGTAACCCGATGCTGGGAGTATGCGAGAAAGGGTGGTCAGACATCTGCTCGGAAATTGCTTCCTTTCTACTTTCAGTTTTTCTATGAGGAGACATTTAAAAACGTCTCTCACACGAATGGTCTTTTGGGGGGTAAGGGAGTCTTGGTGGGAAAAGGAATGCTCCCTCCGAGGGGAGGACCTCCCTGGCGGAAGCCCGGGGAAAGAAGACAAGCCATCTGGTCCCGAGGGCTGGGGCCACTCGAGGGTGGGCGGGCGAGGGGCCCCGAGGGGGGTCCCCTATGGGATTCCAAGGGTTGGGAAAAGGGGTGTCCGTCACGCTTAGGCTTGTCGTGTCCTTAAAGAATAACGTCTGGAGAAACAGCATAACCGAGACCCTCCTGAAGTTTTCAATTTCAACCCAGGCAAAATCGCGACCTCTCTTTAAAAGGGTGGGGGTTGGGAGAGGAAAAGCTGCGCTTCCCAGGGTGACAAGGAAGGGGCTGTGCCCTGGGGACCGGGACCAAGGAACCTTTCTTGCCCGCCGGTATCGTGCGGAGGTAGCGGAGGTGGGCCGGCTCCATACCTCGTTCGGCCAGAAGCCGGGTCGCGCCAAGTAGCCGGGCACCCCCCACCTCGGCACAACAAAGCGCTCGGAGGGGAGGGCACCCTAAATTTCCCTTCCCATTCAGTTCCTCTCCCGGACCTAGGGAGCCTCCCTCCCCCACCGCCGCAGCCGCTTCACCCGACTTTCGCCCCACCAGCCGAGGGACGGAATCCCCGGGACCCCGTGCAATTACCTGCCCCGCAACGCCGGCCCGTTCGCCGTCTGCCGGGAATTAAAGGAACCAAGAGCGGCGCGACCCCCACCGCGTTTGGGTGGCGCGGAGCGGGCGAGGGCAGAGCCTCACACTCCTTTCACAGCTTTCCTCCACCGCCGAGCGAAGCGCCCCCGGAGTCCGCCTGGGGGTCTGAGCCAGGTCGAGGGCCACACAGGTAGCGGGGGACCAGCCGCCGCGCGCCGCCGCCCCTCCCCCGCCGGCCGCGTCCAGCCCCCGCTCAGCGGTGAAGGAAGCGTCGGGGACGTCCCACCCCCGCGGGGAGCTGCGCCGCCCGCCCGCGCACCCCGCGCCCCCGGCACGGTCGTCTGCGGCCGGGAGAAACGCGAGCAGCACTGCCTTTCCCCCCCCCTCCTCCACTTTTTTTGTTGTTGTTGTTGCTTTCCCACGCTGGCTGAATGTGACTTGACCCCATTTCAAAAAAGTTTGACATAGTGCTTCAACATTTCCGCATTCCTCCGCGACTACAAAGGCTTCAGCCGCCTCCTTCTGCTTTCTGTCTCTGCTCTCCGTCTTCACACTCAATGAAATCCTTCTTGTGCCTCTCCCGAAGCCTGCCAAGCCCCGCAAGGGTCGCCCCAGGCGCGGCGAGAAGAGGCCGCCCCGGGGGTGCGCGGCTCCCGCGTGCGCACACGCGCCCACGTGCACGCGGAGGAGCGCGCGGCGCACCCGGCTCCAGCAGCTGGGCCTGCGTTCTCCATGCCGGGATTTTAAATAATTATAGATATATATATATAAAAACCCTCAGAAAGTTGTGCGAACACGCGTCCTTGCGGGACTCCAAGCTCGTGCAGCCGCCGCTGCGTGCACGCCGGGCATACATTCCACGGCCGCTGGCGCTGCCAGCAGGACGCCTGCGTGAACATTGACTTCGCGGTGGGGAAGATGGAGCCCACACCCACACCTCTGCACGCCGCAGGGAGCTTTTGTGGGGAAGTAAATGCGGGGCGCGGAAACGCTGTCTCGCCTGGGCTCCCCCCGGGCGGTGCATTTCAAACCCTCTGTGTGTATTTTGATGCGAGGGTCCGAGTGGAGTTCAGTTCCGTTCGGAGGAACTGGGTGAGAAGTTTATGTGTGGGCGCTTGTGAGGGCAGCTGTGGGAGCTGGCACAGGACTTGGTGGCGGGGGTGTCCCCTGTATGGGATGTCCCCCGTCTCGCCAGATTAGATGAGCCTCCGCTCCCGCTCTGCAAACTGTCCGTAACCTCCCCGCCACAGTTCCTAAAGGGTTAACCCAAGGCACTCCAGGGACACACAGGCTCCCCCCTACCTCCCCAAGCCACATCCTCACCTCCCACCCTGGCAAGCCCCCAGCTGTCCCCCGGAACCAGCCCCCCACCCTGCAGCCCACCCGCCCGAGCCCACAGCTCCTAACCTGAGGCTCGCAGTCGCGGTGGGCCTCCCGAGTGGGGCGCGCGTGTCGGGAGCCCTCCGCACGTGTCCTCGCGTGAAGCAGGTAACCGGACGGGCGGGCGCGCCCGGCACTCTCCCCCGCGAGGCGAAGGGGTGGGCACGGCGGCGGAGGGCGGAGGGATCGCGGAGGGCGCCGCCCGCGACGCGCTGGGGCCGGCGGGG